ATGTATGGGTGTCGATCGGAGATCAAACATAAGTTAGGTTGGGGAGACACGTAAGAGCGGAGGTTTTTTAAGAAAAAACTTCAACCCCCAGCAGTCTCCCCTTCTATTATGGCGAAGGCAATTGGAAAAATATTGTTGTTCCCGTTCTACGCCACAGCCATGAGTAGAGTGCTTGATAAGACAAGTCAATAGCAAAACTCTGCGAATCACATGTGACCCTGTAGGCTTACGAGATTCTCTTGATGCATGCAACCTGCATTGATGAGACGGGACTAGGCCAAGAGTCTGCATTTCACATGTGACTCACTAAAAACTCACTAAATAAACTATAATAAATATAAGAAAAACTTTGCGTTTCACATGTAACCATTAAAAAGACTCTGATAGTAAAAAAATTTCATATATGTATTGCAATCAATTCTATTACATGTAACCAAAGCTTTTGGAATCAATGACATGCAGCATGCGTGATGAGACAGGACAATGCAACATTCAATGACATGTAGCCTGCTTGATGAGACGTGACAATGAGGGAATTTGGTTTTCACATGTGATCATGCATGCAGCCTGCATTGATGAGATGGGACTAGGCCAAGAGTCTGCATTTCACATGTGACTCACTAAAAACTCACTAAATAAACTATAATAAATATAAGAAAAACTCTGCGTTTCACATGTAACCATTAAAAAAAGTCTGATAGTAAAAAAAATTCATATATGTATTGCAATCAATTCTATTACATGTAATCAAAGCTTTTGGAATCAATGACATGCAGTATGCATGGTGAGACAGGGCAATGCAGCATTCAATGACATGCAACCTGCTTGATGAGACGTGACAATGAGCGAATCTGCTTTTCACATGTGATCCTGCATGCAACCTACATGAGTGTTTGACATTGCTTCTGTACACTTGTCCCACATGGGTTTACAACCTACATGCATCAATACACTTGTCTGCATACATTTACAACACACATCCACTCATGGGATATAAATATAGTGTCTTTACCCAGCAAACTCTGCTCACAATTAAACTCTCCTACTCTCAAACCCCCAAACTCTCTAACTCCTATACTTTCTAACTCTCAAACTCAAACAACATCAAACCCTCAAACTCTCATACTCTCTAACTCCCAAAAACCTCAAACTCAAAGACTCTCAAACCCTCAAACTCTCAATATCTCTACATATCAACACCCCAAACGACAACGTCTTTACTAACAATGGGCGACTCTCATAGAGGCACGACTGAAAACATTGCAAACTTTGTAAGTTTTTAGTTCTTATCTAACGTTAATTATTTTACTTCTTATCTAACGTTAATTATTTTACTTCTTGTCTAACATAATTATTTTACTTCTTGTCTAACGTAACATTAATTATTTTGCAGGATGTATCAAGGTTTCGATGTCGTGTGCATGATTGCATACCACTCGACCCGCTCATAACGGGGTACCTTCGTAGTTGTGGGTTTGGTGATGTGATCAAAATTAAATCTTACTCCCTCGATATGAAGTTTATTCTAGAGTTATTAGAACGCTGGAGACCGGAGACACATACATTTCACCTACCTTTTGATGAGTGTACTGCGACTCTCCAAGACGTATACATGTTGCTTGACCTACACATCGATGGTAAGACCGTCAACGGCAAAGTTGGTGTCCCTGACCGACTTTGCGAAGATTTATTAGGCGCCCCTCTTTGTGTGGACGCACCTCAGGCGGAAAGCAAGGGCCACCCGAGGGGTCAGGGAATCAATTTAAAATACCTCAGAGAACAATACAATAATATTGTCTTAACTGATGATAGCACCGAATATGACATAATAGTCAAAACATGGTGCTATATTATGATTCTGTTCGATCACTTTTTATTTCCATAGGGAACTGGAAATACCGTCCATACTATCTATTTAACATTATTACAAAATATTCACAAAGTGTGCGAATATAGTTGGGGATCAGCTGTCCTCGCCCATCTGTATAGTGCACTTTGCAAAACTTCCAAAAAAAATTCATGTACTTTCTATGGTTGTGCTTATCTCCTGCAAGCGTGGGGTTGGTCTAACTTATATGCATAACCTTGTCTATCTCTGTCTGACTAAATGTATCCACCTTTATTGCAGTTTGTTTGGATGACGTACGAGGGTCTCGATCACCAGCTCGACCCCAATGATGCTGTTGTGTGGACATTAAGAACACCCATAATTAGGTTCACCATGGTGGAGATGCACCAAAGTGACCGGGTGAAGTTACAATTTGGGATGCATCGGGATATTCTAGATGCTCCGGTAGATTCAGGGCAGTGGCATCAAAAGCGGGTGGACTCACAGTGGAGTGTCAGTGATTGGAAGGAGTTTGTGAAGGAGTTGTGTAACCACTGAAAAAGAAGAAGGCATCACGTCTTAACCGACCGTATTGTGCACGGGGCTAGACCAAGTCTTCAATATATGAATTGGTTTAGATCTGTCACAACATCTCAACCTTTCTTGTCCCAGCCAACATATTTGGTCGATCCAAGGGAACACGCTTCTTCGTCAAACACACAACAACAGTCCAGTGTCCAAAATCAGCCTTACGAAAACCCATACATGCCAACAAATACCCCCATCAACCACCATACCATGACCCATACATGCAACCCACCTAGTCCCAGCCTCAACCACCATACCATTATAGCCCTGATTCGTCTTTTGAGCCTACCCCCTCCGCCTATAGCCCAGACAACTCATTTGACCCTACCCTTCCAACTACCCCTCAAACTATCCACTATTTGACTACCACACCCCACAACAACCAAAACACCATTTCCAACCCAATTCGATGTACGCATTCAGACAACCATATCGTCCATACACCACCCAACCTCCACGACAATCCTTCAAAAACATGGGCACTGAGCTGAACTACGGAAGCGCCGTTGATTGTAGACCTCCCGGCTATTGGGTTCAAATGCTGCAAAATCTATCTGATACGTCGGGACCGTCCCAACAAAACCCTCCTCAACAACTCAACATACAACGGCCAGACACACCACAACAACCTCGTCGTAGACCTCGTCGCAACGCGCATCCGCCGCAGTGTGGCACTGGTGGTCGCCTGGATAGAGCCGACCATTAGTTTTTTTTTTCAGTTGTAATTTTTATTATATGTTTTTTTCAATTGTAATTTTCATTATATTATAAATTATAAATTAATATATTTTAACTTTTTTTTTAATTCCTTACATAACAAACAACATAATTAATATATTTTAAATTTCATTATATTATATAAGGATTGTTTAAATTTTAATTAATAATAAATAACAAACAACATAATATATATTAAAATAATTATAAGCTTAATAATAAACATAATATATTTAATATGTTATTAAAATATTTATAAATTTAATAATAAATTTAATGAAATTAATAGGTAATTAAAATATATATTAATAGATAAAATATTTATTAAAATGTTTATTAATATTTAATCAAACGAGAAACCCTAAACAATACAAGCATTCGCCAATCCATATGGCGAAATGGGCCAATTTCTACATATTCGCCAATCCATATGACGATTTAGTGCAAGCCCAAATCGTGAGTGCAACAATGTCGCCAATCCAAACGGCGATTGGTAGTTGAAACTTAGTCGGTTTGAGAAATTTTTTGAAACTTACTTTTATTTAGTAATTTTTAATTAATACTTCGTTATTCTTAAAAGAATTTTCAAATACTACGTAGATAACCAAATAAAAATAATAAATCCATTTGAGAAAAAACTGTGAGATAATTTTTATTAGTAAAAAATGTATGTGTCATTTGTGATATATAAATATTTCTTTACATTTAACTTTTTGCATTGAATTTTCATTGTTGTCAATTCTTTTACAATTTTTTCAATAAATATCTTAATTTATATCATCATTGAGCTTTCTTAAGAAAAAAAAAACTTACAATTCACATATAATCTAGGCAAGTGATTAGTTAGTTTCCATAGGGACTCCTCATATAAAAAAAACACCCTTACAATATTAACCTTCACATTTCATTAAAAATCTAATTAATTGTCTGGAATAAGAGACACAGTTTTAAATATCGAAGACAAGATATTCAAACTCAATAGTCATAAATTTAAATTATTTCCATTTATTGTTACATTATGAAAAAAATATGATTATTATGATAATCACGAATACAATAAATATCTAAATATTTATTTTTATTTGATCTTTCAATTCTACTATACATGCGTATCAGCTCAATAACCACAAAAATAATACCCACAATTTTTCTACATATTCAATTAATACCTCGTCATTTTTGTTTTCCCAATTTGTAATTAATTAATTTCACCAAAAAATAATTAATTAGTTAAAGGCAAAAACTCCCTTACTTAATAACACAATTAATTAATATTGGAATATTGAAAAAGATAAAGAAATATTTTGTTGTTATTATTAGCAATGAATGAGAATATTTGAAATTATGAACAATTATAGATAGATGACATAATAAAGAACAAAAGTGATGTTCTGAAATATTGGGACCCAATGGTGGGGAAGTTGATGTTGAAAATTGTATTGGAAATTGGAAGCTAGGTAAAGGAAATTGTACTATCTAGTAGTCAATGTTGGTTTTCTTGTCCCTAAAATAAATATTAAAAAAGATTTAAACAATATTCTATTATTATAATATTAAATTCTTATAATTAAGGTGATATCTAGAAGATTACAAATTATTATATTAATATATAATAGTATATTATTATTATATTAAAGAAATGATTGGAATTGAAAAGGAGACAAGACAAACCTGACAACATTTTTGTTTGGTGTTTTTGTTTTCCACTTTTATTCCTTTGACGCCCATTGTGTTGTGTTGTGTTTTTCTAACACTTAACATTTCTGTGTTTGTTAAGTTAAAAATATTCACCATTTTTTCTGTTCATCATTTTCATGTTTATAGATAGATAAATACATCAATAAATAACAATTTAGTTAAGGTGCAAATGGAAATGACAATGCCTGTTAGTTTAAGGAACAAGCTTAAGAGTCTTTGTGATTATGGTGACGGTTGGTCTTATGCTATTATGTGGCGGTTTCATCAAACAAATCCTATGTAAGAATCTTGTTTCACATTTTATTATTTTTTATCTTTCTTAGATGTTACTTGCATGTTTGAAATTTGTTATTCTTATAGGTTGTTGAATGTGGAAGAAGCATATTATGAGGAAGAATTAAGAGAAGAGATTCAAAACATGGTTCCTCTAGTGCATTTGCTTGGTGAAGGGTATGTATGTTTTTCACTGTTTTTATTTTTCCTGATGAATAATCTCCGTCGAGAAATTTCGCTGAGTGTGTGATTGATCTCTTGTTCCAACCACATTTTTATGTAGAATTGTTGGTGAAGCTGCTTTCACAGGAAAGTACAGTTGGTTACATTCAGTTAGTTATGAGGTATAATTTTCAAGTTCAGATTCAATTTTCTCAGTTTTTATAGTTCAGTTATAAGTTATAAGTTGAGAATTTCATTTGTATCTCCTTTTCTTTTTCTTTCTGCAGAATGATTTTTGTATGTATCAACAATTCAACTCTGGAATAATTAAGGTAATAAAATTTGTCAACATGGAGAATGTATTTGATACTTTTGGTCAAATCAATTGTAATAATAATGTATTAGATGTCGTGATACTGTAGAAAGTATCTGATGTCTCTGCACAACTGCCAATTGATCTGAATTGCTTAATGGGACATAGCGTAGTAAGTGTGATTATAAGCTTTTAGAAATTTATATTGATGAAAAATTGTGTTTTGTAGACAATTGTGGCTATACCTGTCAAACCATTTGGGGTGGCACAGTTTGGATCAAGAAAGAAGGTTTTGGAGAGAATGGATTTTTTGGATCAAACACAGATTTTGCTCGAGGAGATAGATGAAATCGGGTTATTAAACGACTCAGAAAATGCAGTTTTATCGAGCGAGGATATCAACGGATTGCTAGCTTCGTTTTCTTCTGAAAATTCATGTGATTGGAATCTCAAATCTGCTAACGATGAAAACTATAAAGATCTGAGAGAAGTTTTTTCTTCTTGTGAAGAAAGGGTCACATCGCTAGAATTTGAGGAAAATTCTTGTTTTGATTCATTGTTGCAACAGTTTGTATCTGAAACAATGGCACAAGAAGTTCATGATTCATCATTGGCCTCATTGCAGAATATAGACGGAGTTTCGTTTCGAGAAAATATACAAAATTCTATGGTTAATGTTGTGACAGAAGTTGATTTACCATCAAGTTCACATACACTGAATGGAATAATCTGTAATAGTTTAGAGCCGGTTGATATGTTGGAAGAGTTTTTGAAGTTCGGCTCCGTGGATGATCTTTGCGAATGGTTCGCTCCTTCTCCTGACGAGACTACTATCTGCAAAACAATGATTCAATTGGAAAAAACCCTTTCCGAACCAATAGAGTTTAATCATCCTATTCGCGCTGATCTTGGCCTGGCCGAGAAAGAAACATCGGTAGTAATACATAGTTCTGAGAACGATTTCTTGGACAACACGGAGTTTGATTTGGGAAGTGATCAAGGTAGTGAGTTGTGGGGGAATTTACTTACACCAATGGTGAATGCTGCTGGGACTGATAATATCGCCTTTTCTGAATGTGTATCCGAGTTAAATGCCGGTGCACCGACCGATAGTACTCGGAAGAGGCTATTCGCAGAGTTAGGCATTGAAGAGCTTTTGAGAGGCGAAGCGAATTACAACAATCCTTTTAGCAGTTCTAATTTCGAAAATGCGTTATCGTCTAACAAAAAACAGATGGTAGAGTTTTCGCCTACGAACAGAACTCAAGTTCATTTCGCAAACCTTATCGGATCAAACTTGATGCATCCTGTTTCTGACTTGGAAGAGTCGAAAAGTGTTTTAACTAAGAAAGATACATTCTCAAAACTACAAGTTGGAATATCGGTTAATGACCGAAACCGCATCAATGTCAAGAGGGCCGTTCCAGCACACGCGAAAAGGCTTGAACAGCCTGCAAAGCACACCAAGAAGAAGGCTAAACCGGGGGAAAGCACTCGTCGGCCAAAAGATCGGCAGCAGATTCAAGACTGTATTAAAGAGTTGAGAGGAATCATCCCTCATGGTGGAAAGGTAAACAAAGCCTCAATTCAATTATACTAACAATAAAGTTTCTCATATAACTTTCTGACAAATGTTTTCATGATTTTTTCGACAGTGTAGCATCGATTCGTTGTTAGACCGCACGATCCGATACATGCTTTTCTTAGGCAGTGTTATTAAATATGCAGACAAATTACAAGAGCCTAATGAACCAAAGGTAACTAACTCTAATCAAACTAATTTCTACTTTTTTAATTAAGCATATGCTTAATCTTCATTAGTCATTATCATAATTGATATTGGAACTTTTTGTTGCATGATTAGCTTATTGATCAAGCAAATGGAGTGATTCCAAAAGACAAAAACCATGGTGCCACATGGGCGTTTGAAGTATCAAACCCAACAATGTTATGTCCAATTATAGTCGAGGACATGAATCCGCCTGGCCAAATGCTTATCGAGGTAAGAAACCGAATAAAAACGAATGTGGATCAAAATTTTTTACAATCTTTGCGAATTCATTAGTATTCTTCTGTTGCAGATGCTTTGCGAGGATCAAGGTTTCTTTGAAATAGTCGACATTATTAGAGGTTTCGGGCTGAATATCTTGAAAGCGAAGATGAATTTACGGAAGAATAAACTATGGGCGCGCTTTATTGTCGAGGTAACTAAATCGAATAACAGTTGCATACGCGAGTTTCGTAAATTTCATAGGTCATTTTATCCTCTACTAAGTGCTGGTTTACATATTTTGCAACAGGCAAATAGACATGTGACAAGGATAGATGTGTTTTGGTCCCTTCTCCATCTTCTTCAACAACCAAACAGCGTCGGAATCGATTCTTCGAACAAGCATAGCAATGTTATTGATGCAAACGTCGCGTAACCGTGGCGATTAAGAGGTGCAATGGTAAATGGTAGGTTAGGATACACTTAGCAGAAACTTGATTGATAAACAATGGTAGCTTCTTCTCTTGGGTTAACTTGGAAAATTTAAGCTTCATGCTTTTAACATTATGATTCTATATAGGCCAAAGTTAGTGAAGAACAGTTAGAATATCTACATAGTTTAGTTATATTTGAAGAAACTTTTACATGTTTTAAGAGTTTATTGTTAGATTCTTATGGGTCCATGTGAATGAGAAATAAATTAATCTGTTTGATATCCCAAATCTCAAGTGCCAAATATAGCTCTTTCATCAGCATGCACCCAAAATGATTTCCAATTATAGTATCACAATTATTAGGTTCTTGTTAAGTTGATTTAAGAATTTTAAAATTTGGGTTGAATTTGATCAACTTTAACTAAACCAAATTTTAAAATGAGTGGCATCTTCATTTATAAATTCTTTAATAAAGATTTTATTTCAGAGATATAAGATTTTTAACATATTTTGTCGAAAATTGGACATCTGGAGCTTAGAGCGTGATCTAATGGTCTGATAAAAGCGACATGATAACAAGTGACTTAATGAATTTTTAATAAAACCTCAACGTCCATTATAAACTCATTTTTAAACCGTATTTCATTGCATATCGTAATCTTAACATATAAGACACCGACAGACACCAATTACAATTGCAACATTAATATATTGACATTGATAATAATCTTAAAAATAATAAAATCAATGTAATTATTTGTGTCTATAAGCACCAAATATATATATATATATATATATATATATATATATATATATATATATATATATATATATATATATATATATATATATATATATATATATATATATATATATATATATATATATATATATATATATATATAGATTGTGTGCTTAGAGATATGTTAGGATTTAAAATATTTTAATACTAGAGAATATTCAATGATGACAAGTCCTAACAAATTGGGACACATCTATTGTGCTAATAAAATAGTGAATGAAAAAGGCTACATATTTTTATTGTTGCCATTAAAAATTAAACTAAACATGGTTAAGAGCAAAGTTAGGAGTGGAAGAAAATAGTGACCAAAGAAAGAAGTGAAAAGTACTTATGATAAGTGCTATACAATAAGAAGGAGTGTGGCCATTATAAAAGCTACCAACCTTTAATTATCTTCCCACTAAAATTTGTCAAACTTTTAACTTTATAAAATGAAAATATCATTAACTTGCCTCTAACTTGTTGATTCCATTTGGCCTCCTTGTAGAAAAAATCCATAGTTTTTGGTGACACATGGAATCTCTCTACTTTAAATTATGATCCTTCCTTTATCTCCAAATGTTATATGCTTAAGTAAAATAATAATAGGTCCTATTCATGACCTAATTAAGTGGGTTGTTGTGCATGTTTTTTCCTCTTCAATTGACTAGGGAACTTCAACTATATTAGATGGTTGACCGTTGGATTAAGATTGGACAAGGCAGATTTTAAGCAAATTGTTTTATAACAAAAATTAAAATTCCAATCTTTAAATTTATAGTATGATTTTGATCCAATGGTCATTGATCGAGTAATTTATGAAAGTGAGATTTTCGCATATATAGAGAATTTGAATTTCTTGCTTTGGTTTTTATTGAAAATGAAATCATTAGCTTGCAATTACTCTTCTTCTTAAACATAGTTTTGTTATGGCAGAAATACAAGTTAAAACAATTTATTTATTCTAAAAAAAAAAGTAGTTGAAGATCGACTAATATTTTTTAATAGTAATTTTTAAGTGATGTAGGAGCAATGTTTTTTATTTGTGATTTTTTAACAATGTCACTTAATTACAAAATGTATAAAAGTAAAGTAATAAAGATAAAAAATGTATAAAATGACTTGATTTGATTGATGGTGTCTTTGAAATAATTATATGGTTCAGTATTTAAAGGCAAACACTAGTATTATTGATGATAGATCGTGATGATCTAGAGATTTGTAGGTGGTTGTAGTGCCCCATATTCGGTTTAATGTTTTCTATATTGCAACATGTTCTGTTGATCATATTTTTACATACACAACTTTCTTCAAATTGTGGTTCCACAATATTGGTCATTATGTTTGAGTGTGCTCATTCTCATGTGGCTTGCTCGGTTAAGGGTGTTGGACTTTCAACTAGGGAGCATTGAACATAGTGGGACTTTTTTTTTCTAGAGCAACCTTTATGAGAGACACACCACATACTCACCCAAAACCATACCACTGTTGAACTTTCAACTAGGGAGCATCGAACATAGTGGGAGTTTTTCTAGAGCAACATTTGTGAGAGACACACCACATACTCACCCAAAACCTTAAGGTGATAGGTGTATGGATTCTCTCACTTATAAATGCTCAAGTCACCACATTTCTATCCAATGTGGGACTATTATCCACCCTACTTACACTTGTTAATACTTAACACTCTCCCTCAAGTGTGAGTCTATCCTAATGCTCTCCCTTAAGCGGAAACTTTAACTGGCGCCGTTGACATTCTTCAACGAGACACTCAACCCACAACCTATGGGGATACTTTCGATACAAGTAAGTCGTTCTCTTTATTCGAACCAAAGGCTCATGATACCACTGTTGGACTTTCAACTAGGGAGCATTGAACATAGTGAGACTTTTTTTTTCTAGAGCAACCTTTGTGAGAGACACACTACATACTCACCCAAAACCTTAAGGTTTTGGGTGAGTATGTGGTGTGTCTCTCACAAAGGTTGCTCTAGAAAGAAAAAAAAAGTCTCACTATGTTCAATGCTCCCTAGTTTAAAGTCCAACAAAGGGGAGTTCGTGTATATATATATATATATATATATATATATATATATATATATATATATATATATATATATATATATATATATATATATATATATATATATATATATATATATATATATATATATATATATATATATATATATATATATATATATATATATATATATATATATATATATATATATATATATATATATATATATATATATATATATATATATATATATATATTAATCACATGTATTTTCAATTTTGAATAACATGTAATATACTTTTATATCTACACAAAATGTCCACCGTGCGTTGTATTATTGACTAACCTTAAGTCATAATAAAATGCTACACAATCAATAATTACTTTGCATAAATATGATTAACATTCTACTGTAAAACAGAAAACTATCCATTAGATAACATACCTCAACTTGCGAATGGTCAAAATCTTTTTAACCATTACTGATTCAATTACCCCATGGTAATATTTACTTTCAAACTACTTCAACGACCATCTTTCCTAATCATGAACACACAAGATAAAATATCCACTACCACTATCTATCATATTTTGTCAATTCTTTCTTTATTTTAAGCCCAATGGGATGTCGTTCGAATCTGAACCATATGTTAGAAATCATAAAAATTCCACTATTAAGAAACCTATTTTATTTCTAGGGATCCAAAACATAAGTTGTTTTCTACTAAACTCACGTGCCCTTATTGATAAAGAACCTAGCATGGGCGAGATGGCCAAGAAACGATCTTTGATATGAGGGAAACATTCAAAATTTTATATTTCCAAGACTCTGAAGAACCCACCCACGAAGGTAGATCATCAATTTGTTCTTAGGAAAATGAAGTTACTTGGTTTTAGCTAATCAATTGTTTAATTTCTTCTTTCAAGTCAAAAGAAGCCACATTGCACGTGCATTAGAGAGATTATTAGTTGTGTCCAAAGCTTGAATGAGAATTGTGATCACACACAATAGAGGTTGATCTCCTATTATCTATTCTTCTTCTACCACCTTTAGTAGGTGGCAAAGTTCATGCGACACTAACAAGTGAAGTTTTAAGATCAAACAATAAGATCTCTTCTAGGAGAGGGACAAAGTGAAAAATTTAGATAATAAATAATGGTAGGGTATAAATGGCTTTGAAAAAGAGGATGAGGCATCTGAGACCCATTTTCTATAATCTTTATCGAATCGATTAAGTAATCGGTCTTTGTGGCTACCAATTATTCAAAATATAAATAGAATTTCATTCGGATTTTCAAGTCTTTCCCACCTAATAATATAATAATTCTTTAGATAATTTCTATTGATGTTTCTATTAAGTTAACCGCCTTCTATATTTACTGGCCAATAGGATCTTCCATTGTATACCTTACTAATAATGAATGTTTCTTACCATTTCTTAAATTCAGAGTCTTTAATCCGAATTAGTAAAATAATTTTCCAGACCAAATCACCTTCAATGAATCTCTTGAGTTTGACTTTCTTATTGTAAGCTTTGGTAATTTTCTTCTTTTAATTATCGATTCTATCTAAGGCCATCAAATAATATTCATCTAGAGAGTTCATCTCTATTAACACATCTTGTTGATACTCATCAATAACGACTTTATTTGTTTGGAAACTCTAAGAAAACCTACATTAATTTCTAATGGTAACACAATATCTTGACAATATGCTAGCCAATTGTTGAGAAGTATTTTAGGTGGGTGTTTTATCGTATCCACAAGGATTTTACGCAAGATATATAGATGTTCGCAGTTCAATAGTTTAATGTTCTAAGTAAAGAGTTTTCAAAAGATTTCTTGTTTTGTAACATAAGTTTGTTACAAATAGTAAATTAGAGAAAAACTGTTTTGTTTAAAGAAAAGCATGTCAAAATTAAATTTCGTTAATCCTTTTCAAATGTATCTGGTTAATCAAGTATGTGAACTTAGTTTCGACCAATACAATTGCATATCCTCGCAAATTTGTTCATTTCTAAAGCAGCTCCGTGAATATTATTATTTTAAGCGCTAGATGATTTCTCGAAATAGCAATCGAAACAATAAACATAAAGATCAATACAAAAAAAATATTAACTTTCAAATCTATGTCTAGAGTTTGTTGGTTAATAGATGAATAAATTAGATAAAGACTTGGAAAATCTATGTCTAGAGTG